ATCGCTAGTAGTGTGGAGGCCATTGCTAGTAGGTTGGAGGCCATCGCACGCAGGTTGGAGGGTGTCGGGTAGCGGAGAAGAGTATAGTGGCAAGTCTCATTGATCCATCTTCTCAAGAGAGTCGAATCACATCTCAAGGTCTGGTAGTGAGAAATTGAGAGACGTAGAGGTACATTAACGTTGGAGTTTTAGTGGAACGTTTGTTTGTATGTTCATGCCCGTAATTCAGGTCTTTTCAAGTATAGAAATAGAGAGCTCCACCTGCCACGAAATCTGGGCTCTGTTGCGGCCTATTGTGGCTTCGCTCAAGCCCCCCTCAAGCTCATTCTTCACAAAGTCCTGTGCCCTGGTCCTGGCTCAGACACAAAATCTGATGCTAAAATTTCACCGAAGTCTAAAGCTGAATTCAATTGAACACAATTCCTGTCTTGGAAAACTCTCATGTGAGGCGCCCAATGACAACCTTATCAGAAGTTTACGGTTCCCTGTTGGCACAGTCCCCAAAACACCTAGAATCTTACCTGACGGACCTTATGTCAGCCGGTAGGTGCAAACCTAGCCCCAGGGCCTTTTCCAGTGGGGTAAAGGATCAAGGATCCTTATTAGCAGATTCTCAACGATCTTTGGCCAGCGTGTTTTGGGGCCATGCGTCCGCAGGAGAAATCTGATGGAACATGTCCCCTTTGTACCAGGCGTGGACGCAGCATCAGCTTCTTTCATTTTTCGCTTTCTTTTTAGCTTCGGGGTGTGAAATGAAGGAGACCGTCCGTCAGATTGGGATCTTTTGCCTTCAACACGGGTTCCGGGCAGCTGTCTGGCTTAGGTTGGGTATGCTGATAGCTGCGCAGTTCTTTCACCTCAACTTTTGAAAACACAGGTTTGGTATCTCATGGGGTGGCTATGGTCATTTTTCCATCAGAAATTGTACGATGGTCGGTGCCTAGTAACTAGTATCATACTTGTGACTATGACGGTGAAGTAGTCGCACCACAATCGCTTCCTAGAAGCTGGGAACGTGCATAGTGCAACATTTTTAGTCGCACATTCATGTAAGGGGTCGGCCGTGGCCCTTTTCTGTGCTGTTTCCTGCCAGGCAGTTGCTGGAAGAGGAAAAGCTCAGGACTCAGAGCATGATTTCCAAAGCGCAGAGAACATGTTGGCAGAGGACAAAACAATAACAACTCGAGGCTTTGCTGTTTGACACAGCAATGACACTTTTTTTGATAAAGAATTGCTCGATAGTGGCTTTCTCTTGAATGCTGTCTACAGCCCACGGCCTTTGCTCCAAGGCCTTTGCCAAACCCACGGCTGGCAGAAATTGTGGCCTCCCTGAACTTGGACTTCTTTCAGCTGCCCCAAAAGACGGTTCGTGGCCCAGACAATGAGAGGCAGTGTGGACATAGTTTCAGGTTTCAATATGTTGCAATCAGTTAGGATTCCCTCAGCTCTCATCTTAGTTCTGAAATGATATTAACATAAGCTTTTGCACATGGGGCACATGGGTCCAAACGCTTCTTCTCATTCGCTGGCAGGTACAAAGGGTTGTGAATTCAGTTTAATGTCATTTCTAACTTAGAGTTTTGGTTCATTGTCCACAGTTTTGGTTGAAGTGCAAGTGCATTAAAAAAAAGTTGCAACTCTGGGGCAGTGAGCTACTTCTCCAACTTCTCTGAGTTGTGTTTCAGCGCTGTTCAGGCTTCCACGAATTCTCCGCTTTCTCAGGTGGCAAGACAAGCTGCTGGGCGAGGTTCATGCCTCAACGACCTTACCCGAACAAAGTGAGTCAATGCCAGCCACAGGTGCGACTGGCGACTCAACGAGTCAACCATTCCGGCAAGACTCATGTAGTAGTAACAAGGTTCGCTACTAGGAACAAGTGCATCGCTACTAGTAACAAGTGCCTTACTAGTAGTAACAAGAAGCTACTAGGAACAAGTGCCACGCTAGAGCAGTCCCCTGCTTTGCTGAGTGCTTTGCTACGATCCTCATGATAGTAGGGGTCCGGGGCGTGAACACAAACAACATCAGTTACTTCATGTTATTTCCACCTGCAAGAGGTTGCACGGCGTACTTTTTGGAATCTTTCATATGTGAGTGAGATGATGAATAGGTGGATGTTGGTGGATGCTTCGGAATGGAGCTTGACAATGTTTATATTATATAGGTGAACAGTGGCTCGATGGCTAAAGATATGGTTCAATATGGTTTGATGACTCCTGAGTAAGTGATGTCCAGCCGAATCGCATTATGGCGTGGCATGACGATCATGATGATCACGACAGTTTATTGTTTTTTCAATCAAAGCCCAATCGATTTGGACCATTTTTAAGCACAGATGAGATGGACATCATGCATTGCTGCCCAGGCCCTCCAAAGACAGAGGCAGGGTCTGTCAGCATGGTTGAGTCAGGATTTTCTGAAATGAAACTCAGAGCTTTCTTTTGGGGCTTTAAGGTCGCTTTAATGTGGTAAGCTTTTGCTGTAAGAGTTCTTGCCGGATAGAACGCTCTCTTGTTTCAATGGGACAGGGAAGTATGGGCACGTGCAAGACCTGGGAGGGGATCGGGTGCAAGAATGTGGTATGCCATGAGTTTGCTCGAGGAGAGACGTTATCGGGACGTGGTAGAAAGTGGTAGAAGTCCACAAGAGTGCTTAAACAACTGCTACAGTCACTACAGTAGTAGCTTCTTGTTACTAGTAGTAAGGCCAGGAGCTACTAGTAGCATCCTTGCTCCTAGTAGCGATGCCCATTGTTACTAGTAGCTTCTTGTTCCTATGAGAAAGTAAGACTTATATAAGTTATCTTAAATGATTTTGAGGCCCCATCTGCAGTTCCCGCTCCTCCACTTGCTCATGAAGAAGTTCCCCACCCATCAACATCCACTCCAGCTCCAATTGCAGAGAACTCAGGTGATCCGTGTGAACAAACACAAGCCAAGCGTCCTAGTAGCGTCCTTGTTACTACTAGTAAGGCACTTGTTACTAGTAGCGATGCACTTGTTCCTAGTAGCGTCCTTGGCTATCTTGTGAAATTCTATTGTTCTGAGCTTCTCGTGTGACACAGGCTGGTGCTACCTTGGTGTCACACCCCAAGTTCCTGAAGCTTTCTGCACTGTTGGAAATCGGAAGACTGAGAACTGAAGCTGCAGCTGTAGAGCTTTAGATAGGCCTCTTCCATTGCCAAGCAACAAGGCCCTGCATGCTCTCACCAGAGCAGTTTCACGCCTGGCAGCAGCTTGCGACTCAATTTTTTTTGGGGTGGACATTATTGAACAGCGAACCGTTCACCCAAATTTTGTGGAACTGACATGGCTGGCTGCATTGGACTTTGGACTTGCTCTACCGTACCGAACCGGCTTCAGACAATTAAATGCATATATACATGTATTATATATATACTTACTAGTAGCTATTTTTATAAACTCCTTCTCAGGGCCTATTCCCCTCCCCCTTGAACAATTGGAATTATGTGTTGAATGTGATTGAATGTGTCGAGCCTCAGGTCATTGCTGCAAAGCAAGTCGCATGGGCGAAGACGTGAGAGACGCAGACGAAGTGATTAAGACGTAAAGAAGTCGTCTGACGCGTCCAGAGTGTAAACACACGTATACTGCAACATACTGCAACCATGCATTCTAAGATTTATAAGTATTTATACCTAAAAGAGAATTGATCACCGCAAGCCGCAAGCACAACAAGAAATACCCAGTCTACACTCCAAGCGTTGACCATCCAATCTGCTTTGTCGTGATTTGGGGGTCCGCATATTGCAAAGCGAAGCTGTGGTGTCTTGGGCGAAAAGAGCTGTTTGATGAGTGTGATGAGTGTGAATGGTCAAGGAGAAGTTTGATTCACCACATGAAGTACCTTTGTTCAGGGTACCACTCCAAGACTCTTATGGACCGGATATGAGTGGGTTGGTAGATAGTGACACAGTGTGCCTTTACTGAATGTAACATTGCGTTCAAAAGCAGATCTCTTAGCCTGACAGGGAAAGAGGCAGAGATGGAGGGCAGACCGGGCAGATCAAAACCTTGTCCTTGCTCCATTTGTGCTTAGACCTTCTAGTCTTAAGCCCACTTCGAAATTTTGAGGGTCACTGTTGTACTGTAGCAAGCAAAAAGTGCTCGCAGGATGAGAGTGAGGAAGGTAGCGAGACCGAGGCTGAAGATGAGGACCCAGCTGTGCTTGCTTCTCTGGCCATACTCCTGGTCTCGTTTTTGTAAACACCTCACTTCAATGGCCAACAATGCTCACTTCAACTTTTTTTTAAGTCAGTAGCGCCCTTGCTCCTAGTAGAAAGGCCAGGAGCCCCTAGTAGCGTCCTTGCTGCTCCTAGTAGCGATGCGCTTTGCTACTAGTAGCGTCCTCCTAGTTGCAGTCTGCAGAGGTTTGGAGTCATCTTTGGTCTTGGGTGTCACTGCGTGCCGGTTGCCTTCTGCATATGGGGCTAAATCGGTGCTGGTCACTGCGTCCACTTACTGTGCAAAGTCTACTTTACAAGTGCAAACTCAGATGAGCTCTGCGTTTGACCACGGGTGTCACAGAATGCAATGAACCTGCTTTGGTCTCAAACTTCTTTGTGTCAGACACACTTGCTGCCTCCGAGAAGTTGCCCATGTTTGGGCAGCTAGTAAGACCTCCACTTGCCACGCAGCCTGAAGATTGCAGTAGCAAAAGATGCTTGGCTGTCAAAACACCCATCAAGCTTTGTGGTTGAAGGGAAGCTTGACCCTAAGTCATCAAACTAGCAGTCAGGCTCTTGTTCAAAGACATTCAAAGACGTTCAATTTGATTGATGCATGACAATATGTATGTTGCTGTATGCTTAATTGACAATGTAGGTAGTGCAGGCCGCGGGTTCCGTATGCCATTTTGGTTCTGGGATCTTCGCGCCCGGTGTGGTTGGCCATTTGGCCGGAACCAATCGGAATATGCGATCCAGCCTAATTCGGATGACACCTCCGACACACAGAAGTGTGTCAAATATTTTTCCCAAGCGCACAGCACACACCTCTGATACAGCAACGTCGACCGAGTCTGACCAGCGCGATTCGGACGCAGGTGGGAATTAACTCTGCACGGTCGTCGGTCGTCGGTCAAGTGGCACCGTTTTGCAATCCAGGTTGTGACCTAATAGAGGTACATAAGGCGACTTAGCCGGGTGGAATGATACTTGGCTCTTGTTATCACCGGCAAATGACCACAGATCCCCAGAAATTGTCCCCAGTCACGACAGATCACAGACGACGAAGAATAAACGCAAAGAGCAAAACAATATATATATATATAACTATATATATTATATATATATCCATACATCGACAAGAAGCACCAGGATCACCAAATCAGCACACATTCTAACAAGTGCCCAAAGAACAAACCACATCACCACTAAAAGGTGATGTTATATAACGACAGTGGACTCACAGAAAAATGTTGCCCTGAACCAAGGTTGTATAAACTCACGAATTGGACGATGCAATGGCCGCACATATATTGTAGAGTTTTATCGCGCCTCACCCACGAATCATCAAAGCAACATCAAGCAACTGCGGCGAAATTTGTTTCTCAAGTATTCTCAAGTTTCCTTACTGATCTTCATTTTTGTTGGCAGCTGCAACATGCAGTTCCCGTAAACCAATGTCATGCTTGGTTTCTTTATAAGTTTGAAATACTTTTCTGGATGTATTTCACAGGGAGCTGCAAGTGCTTTCTGCAAAACGACAGCAGACTCAGCATCGGCGTGCGTGTTGGAGAGGAAAAGCAGCCTTCCAGCCGCTTGCGCTCGTTGGAATCCAAGTGATGGGGATGAGTTGCTCAGATGCTTCTAGGTTCAGATTTTGACACGCAGAGACAGAGATGTTTTTGTGTTGTTCCCAGGATAGGTATCGTAAAAAATATTTCATTAGGCTTGACGCCTTTCTCTGGATGTTTGTGGTTGCAGGATCCCTACCCCCTTGAGCTACTTCCGGGAGGGCGGACCTCAAAAAAGTAAGTTACATTTTAGGGTACCCCCCTAGGGGGTCAAAAAATGTAAGTTTTCCCCCCCCAGGCACCATCGAAACTAGTCAAGGGGGGGAGGGGGGGGCAAAAAAAGTGTAACTTGTTGCCTGGGACGTGCTTACTTACATTTTTCCAACCCCCCCCTGGGGGGGTCGTCAGATCGAGGGGAGGGGGGGGGTCTGGAAAATGTAACTTGGGACCTGGGAGGCCTGAACTTACATTTTTTTTACTCCCCCCCCCTTAGGGTGCGTTGGCAGATCGAAGATACGCCAATCACTAAGAAATTATTTGCGGGTGGGAGTCACTTAATGAAATATTTTCTAAATAAGTAATTAACTAAAAGTATTATTTGGCAACTGTTTGCTGATGCCTCAACACCAAGGAAAACATAGCCTCCAAAAATGCAGGACCAGGACACAGGCGAAAGGTGAGATTTGCAGACGTCAAAAATTGTAACTTACAATTAGTCCACGCATCCAAACCCTCAGATTTTACAGGGAATACATGGGTTCTGTGAGAAAGTTTGACCTCACAAATTGTAACTTACATTTTGGCCACATGCCCAACTCCCCAGAATTTACAAGGAACTGGGGTGTCCCCCTGAGGTACTTACATTTTAGCATACTGAAAAGCACACACGTCCGACCACACGAACCGCAAGCAGGGGGCAAGAAACCAGGGGATCAAACGGCGTTGAATATCCTTGTTCTCCTGCCCAATAGAACAGGCAGCCTCTCCTTTATTGTTCTCCATTATTGCTTATTGTGTATGGAGTGTGATCGTCTGTTATGTTTGGGTTTCGCTTTGTTGCCTTCCTTTGGGGTCTTCAGTGGGAACATGTATGTTCCTGTTTCTTGGCAGTTTGCTTTGGGTGTGCTTCCTGTTCTTCTTTGTTGATGATGACTCAGACCCACTGCTGTTCCCTCATCTGCTTTGTTTTTGTGTGGCTTGTTGCTGCAGAAGGAGTTGTGTATGGAAGACCCCCCCGGCCAAAAAGAATTGTAACAAAACAACATATATATTTTATATATTTGTTTTTTCAGTTCAAAAAATGCTAATGATGCAGCCGGCCGCGGGCAGCATCATTCAACTTGATGGCTGACGGCTGACATGTTTCGGCAGGCATTTCCTTGAAATGCCGCATTTGACCATGCGGGACGTGGTCGTGAGCAGAAATTAGTGTGGGGATGGGGGGGGTCTAAAATTGTAAGCGCTCCTCTGTGCCTCAAAAATGTAACTTACATTTTTGAGGTCATTCCCCAGGAAATCACCCATGAGGCCTCAAAAATGTAAGTTACCTTTTTTGAGGCCACCTCAAAGTTAATGTAATTACATTTTTTGAGGCCCTGCGCGCAGGAAAATGTAACTTACAATTTTCGACGCCCCCCCTCAGGATAGGGTAGGGATGTTGCAGGATGCTGCAAGTCAGTATTCGCCTCCCTGTGGAACAGGACAAGTACATGTTTTTTTTTTCCCATGCCCACGTTGGACTATTTGCCCATCAAACGTTGAAAGGCAGTGAACAATCTTAATTCCACAGAACTGTCTCTGGTCAACCAACACTACTTACTTTTATGTGTATATATATATATATCCGTTGCGTTAATTCTCACTTGCAATTTGTCGATTGCGCATCCTTGGATGCTGAAAAGTCCGTGCCAAATTGTTCCATACGTACTCCCTTTGTCACATTGTTCTACTACTGTATTCCATTTTGTTTGAAAGCTTTATGTTGGTTTCCTTCCATATACTTCAATTACTTTCAATCATACTTCACCATACTACTTTCACCAGTTAGGGGAACTCAAAGGAGGATCATGTCACACCCACAGGTCATGCCAGCCTTTGCGCCTGCCACACAACATGATGCTTTCATGATGGGTTTGCGCTAGGGTGGTGTGGTGTGAGGTTTGGTGTGCACTTTTTGAACCCAGGCGTTTTAACGGTTGGGAGGTGGGGGGGTGTGGGTGTCACCGTACAAAGATATTGACTTTGATTGGTGTTTGCATGGTGGACACCTGTGTACGGTTCAACCATGTTCGGCCATCCAGTATCGGACTTGCTTTTCTTCTCAATATTTTTCAAGCTTTATGATGTCTCTGCGGCGTGGCGAAGAAGCAGATCCTTAACTTCAAAGTATTCAACTTTGATTTGAAGACTTAAAGAAGGGTAGGAGTTTTGTGCTGCGCTGTTGCTTGTGAATCGAACCATGACTCTAGAAGCGACACGTGTTGATGCGATATTTGCTTTCCAATTCTCAAGTGACACAGACCACTTAGCAAGCAAAGCAGAGGTAATCTCATGCTTTTGAGACGGCAGGCTGGAATTTGTTGTTGAAACAGTTTTGATGTTTGACAGATGTTGGGTTTACTGGGATCAGGAATGCGGAATTGAAAAACAAGGAGCGTGGGAAGGGATTTGCGCGCAAGTATGCCATAATACACCAAGCAGAATCCAAACTCAACTCTTGCATCGGGTCCAACAAGACACGGCGTTGGCCTTGTGGCCATAAATGTGGATTCTGAGACTTTCCTAGTGCCGGTTGAAGGCAAAAACACACCCCTCGTCTTGAAGCCTGTGTTGCCAGACCACACAAAAACTGAGGTTT